TATGGTGAAAATTAATTGGAAATTTAGATACCCTGATCAGATATCAAGAACACGAAAGGAAGAAGCATGGAAATTAGGCACTAATGCATAAACTAGAGAAAAGTTGGATTAAAGTTACAAGGAATCAGCCCCTTTCCTCTTTCTAAAGCAAAATGGGACCTTCCAAGCACCCACACAAAGCACCCCTTTTATAAAGCCAAAGCTCATGGTCCAAAGTCTCTCATCAATTTGCATTCTCTCTCATCCATTTCAACATCTCCAATTCTCTCTCTTCTCCATTTTCTCTCCTCAATATGCCAACCCCGAAACCCGAATTCTCGCCAGTTTTCCTCGACGACCTCCTCTTTCCGGCGCCCTCGGCTCGGTCTCGACCTGAGAAACCCGAGGGAGTCTGGCACACCGTGTTCATCGCATCGATGATTCTGCTGTCCACGGCCATGGGCGCCATCAAGTTTTCTCGAAGTCATGGAGAATTTCCTGTGAGGGTACAGGTTGCCAAGATGGTCTTTTGGGCTAGCAACACTGGAGCCATGGGGTTGTGTGGTGGGGTGGTGGTGAGCTTAGTGGGCTTGACATACATCGGTGATGAGGCGAAGTTGGTCGGCATGGTCGACTTAGGCCGGAGACTGATTATGGTTGTCGTAATTTTTCTTCAGCTCTCGTATACGAGTGCAGTTTTTGTTATATGTAATGGGGGACTATAGTTGGTGTGTGTGCATGTGTGTGTGCCCGCTCCAGAGGGAGATCATCTTACATATATGAGTGCAGTTTTTGTTATGTGGAAGAGATAAGACTTTAGGAAATGTGCGTGTGTATGTGCGTGTGCGTGTGCATGTGCGTTTGCGTGTACTCGCATTTGTGTGTGTGGGTGTAAAATAGGTTGTTGGAAATACACACACAAACAGGATGTGTAATATCTGACGTGCACATGAGTGTACACATTGGGGATGCTTTTTTAGGTTAGGGAAATGATTGTAGTCCTCATGACCACATGAGGTATGACATAATGAGGATTATCACCGTTCGATCGATGAATTGATGGTGATGGGTTCGATCCATGAATTGATGGTGATGGACAGAGAGTAGGACTCACCGGAACAGAATATAACCGATTTCGCCCCTCGCACTCTTTCTGAATATTCTATATAACCTTTGGAGGGTGATGAACCTCTTGACCACAAGATTGTAGTCATGAGGATTACAATATATGGACTACTGCGTCATAGTCACCAGGAGAGTACATAGTGGAAACAACCCTTGCACTTGTATATGACTTTTAAGAAGTTATCACAATTTTTCTTTCTTTTATTTTCAGTTTGTATAGTTTTGGTATGTAAATGTATGTGTTCATGAAATATTTCATTTGTTAATAAATATTTTTTAAGTTTGTAACTCTGTGTTTTGTAAGATGCTGTTTGATATCACAGTTCATGAGATGTTAGAAGATTTTATTGTCCGGTGCCATAGAAGCTCATTGCGTTCGAGAGAGAGAGAGAGAGAGAGAGAGGGTGAGAGTGAGAATGAGGGATTCCTTCCGAGGTAAATTGGAAGGAAAAAGAAATATCTCCTAATCAATTCACAAAAATTTCTACGTCTAAAAAACCGGGTTGGGAATAAGGGAGTGTACATTATAAGACCATTTACCTATGATACAAGAAGGTTACAATCACTGCTAACCATTGGAGTTCGAATGGAATGATTTAGGATTTATCCCAAAGCTCAAGAAATTTTTTTCTAAATTTAGAGCTCAATCAATTATACATCCACAACCGCTAGATTTCACATCTAATGGCCAGAGGTAGTTATGATGTCCTTGTGCCAAACATAAACAGTATTATCATATACTTTTCCTAGGGATAAAAAGGTCAATATAATAAATTGGGAAAATTTTATATGGAGCCGAGGCTCTAAACAATCAAATTAGAGCGTACATCAAAATTTTCACTAAAAAATGCCGTTTTAATGCCCAAACATCCTCAAATTGATCATCTGGATATCAAGATGCATAGACATGAGAGAAAATGGATTTCAAGCTTTAGAAATAATGTATTTTGTAACGCATTTTTGGACCATCAATTTTCAAGATTTTCATAGATATGTCGATCTACACTATTTTTGAAGTTTTGAATTTTATAAACAAAAATAAAAATATATTTTAAAGCTATCACAAATATTTACAGTATTGAAACTACATTTTTCGATACTATTTGAAAGTAGGCTCTAATTTGATTATCTCCACATCCAATTAGCCAAATAGTTTGTGGAAATGTTATTATAACAAAGTAAATATGAGACTCGTGACCACTAAATCAGGAGTCCAAACTCTAGGTCACATTGGTCTCCTATATATAAAGATGTATTGATTTGTGTGGAGAATATAAGTTTCTGGTTGGATAAATGGCTAGGAGATAACTACCTTCAAAATCCACATCCTCGACTTGTTCCAAAGAGCAACTCGTTTGGAAGCCAGTGTGTAGTTATACTATCCCGAGAATGTGATCAGGTAGTGTGGATCATAAATTGCCTCTACATAAAAGTTGGTTATATGGTTATTGAACGGTGTACATCTTTTACTAAAGTTATTATGTCTGACTGAAGGGATGACCCTTAATAAAGCAGAATGGTAAAATAGTATACGTATAATCGAAATCAATTAGTTGAAATAAGACTGAGATGATGACAATGATATTAAATGACATGTAATATTATTTTCTTATAAGTAAATCAGTAGAAAAAGTCGGTCCCCTCCCTATTTTCATTAATATAAAAAATAAGATGCATGAATCATTTACTATTAGGTCCTTAGAGGATTAGAGCGACTTCAAATGGGGATTTTTCAGTGACCTCATCATATTGGCTCTTGTATAGCGATAGAAAAGGAACACAATCAAAAGAGTTACCATCTCCTCATAAAGTTCAAAGGATTTATGTGATTAACGGATCATGGGAAGATCCTTATCGTTGATAATTTGAGAAAGAGAGGTAAGTTTCTACAAATGTTTGCTTAATGTGCAAAATAGATGAAAAACTATTAATCACTTGTAACACTAAAAAAAAAAAACCTAAACTATTGATCACTTGTTTGTTCCAACAACTGGTTGATCAATGGTTAAACCATCCATTAACCAGGACAGGCAAAACAATGTGGAGGACAATTATTATGGTATTACTGTGGAGTGGGGGAAGGTGCAAAATCCAATAATTTTTTGCTTAATCACTCATATAAACAAGGTCAAAAAATCCATTCTAGCTAATGAGGTAGGCCGAAGAATATTGGGGAATATCGAGAGATGACATCATAATCAAGAGTCAACAGATAATTAACCTGATGATTTATAGAGGCAGATATGGTGTTGAGAAACCCCTCCCCCTATTGAAATGGTAAAGTTTAATTTTGATGGAAGTTCTACTGAAAACCAAATGTCAGATGGATGGGAGGAGTAGTAGACATTCCAATGGTGATGTCATAGTCTTGGTTTTTAGTTTAGATGGGATCTGTAAAGCAAATAAGGGAGTGATAAATAGAAGGGGATCCAAGTAATGTCATTAGATGGATTCAAGTAATGTCATTAGATTTAGTAAAGGAGATTAATACATCCCATGGACATTAGCCCCTATTTTTTTACCAAATTTGGTGGAAACTTGGTAGGATAAATGTTGAATACACATATTGTTGCTAGGAAAGTAATACCCTGACAGATGCCCTTGCAAAATAGGGGTCTAGCAATACAATTTTGTTGGTCAATACTTATTGATACATTTATGATTACTTAGAGCTAGCAATGGGCCCCGCGAGTCAATCTTAAATAGGGCTTGGGCCACAAAATTCGAGCTGAGTGCTTGTCTAGGGATAGCCACCACAACTCGTGAGCTGGACTAGGCTTGGTCCAAGGCCGTGAGAGGGCCGGGGCTCCAACAACCTAGCCCTGTCTATGTTTTTTTAGGAATTGTTTATAAGAAGACTATTTATCTTTTGTACATGGAGGTCACAATCCTTCCCGCTCAAATTGGATAACTTACGGTGAATCATGAAATCCAAGAATTAACTTTTTGGAACTTTTTGTCTATTCGATGACATTCATACAACCACCAATTTTGAAATTTAAAGGACACGAATGATTGTTACCTCCATGTACAAAAAAATAAAAGGAAAAAATTTATAAGAGCCGAGGTTCTAAACAATCAAATTAGAGCCCACCTCAAAATTTTCACTAGAAGAAGTTGTTTTTGTGACCAAATATCCTTAAATTGACCATCTCGACATCAAGATGCATGTACATGAGAAAAAAAAATGGATTTCAAATTTTGGAAATAGTGCATCTTATAACACATTTTTTTACCATCAATTTTCAAGATTTTCAAGTTTTCATAGATCTGCTCGATCTACTCTATTTTTGAAGCTTCGAATTTTATAATTAAATATCTATTTGAAGGTGGGCTCTAATTTGATTGTTTTGAGCCTCGACTGTATACAAACTGTACCCAAAGATAAATGGTCTTTTGGTAGACAATCCCTGTATTTTATCGGTGTGGTTTTTATAAGGTTGCAATATTAAACAATTCAATTAAGGCGCACCTTCAAATTTTATTATAACATATAATTTTGATGTAAAATATTTTTAGGATTATCTTAAAATCCATTTTCATATCTAATTATAAAATTTTAAACTTCAAAAATGGTTAAAATCAAGTTGATCTATAAATATATGAAAAACTTGAAAATAGACTGGCTAGATGATATGTTGCAAGAAGCACTATTTATGGGACTCAAATTCTTTTTTTTTTTTCTATATTTATGCATGTCGATATCCAGATGATCAATTAAAAGGTTTTTCAATATTAAAACAATATTTTTCGATAGGTTATTGAGGTGCATTTTTAGTTCTACATTTTAAGGTTTTAACCTTATATAAATTTTTTCCTTATTTTATTTGTTTCTATGTGTTTTAGGGTCTATGAAGGAGATACTGTTTTCTCATAGTTATTTCGTTCTCCAAAAACTTATAAAAACCTGAGTGATTCTAAGTTCTCAATTTAACGTACAGTGATGAGTTTTTTTGGAAGATTTTTGTTAAAAAAAATTTTGGAAATTTTATTTTTCCATATTTTAATAAAGAAAGGGCGGCAAATTGTTATATTACTACTTAAATTCCATAGTCGAGTTTCTGGATTTCACAAACAGGTTTCACACAATCCAAAGTTGCAGACGATCGATTACAGTAAAAAAATGTTAATAAATAAAAAACCCTAATTCATTTCCTCGATGTATTCGCTGCTTTCTCTGTCCTTTTATCCACACTCTCTCTCTCTCTCTCTTCTCTCTCCTCTCTCTCTCTCTCCCTCTCTCTCTCTCTCTGCAATGGCAGCAGCTTCGGTCCTGCATTTCTCCATTTCGACAAGGCCCAAGTATCTCATGTAACTTCTCCCCCACCTGTCTCTTGTTTTTTTTGAGTGCTTTCTTTTGATTTTTGTGAATTTCTGGCCAATTTTGTTGATTCTATGGAATGTGATTTTAAATGACAATTACGTTCTTGCTAAATTTGCTATGGAGGTTTATAGAATTAGTGATTACTTGAACCAGAGGATAGAAATTTGCTCTAGAACACCACTGCATTGTGAAACCTGCTTTGTTTTCTTTGTATCTTTATCTATTAGCTCTGTTTATAAAGGAAAAATTGCAGAATGTGTTTTGCTTTACTATGATTCATTTGTTTCTTATGTTATGAAATTTAGTAGTGATGTGTTTCCCAAGTATACTTGACTCTTTATTGTTGTTGCTGTAATTGAATAAATAAATATTAATTTCTTAAAAAAATAAAAATTTGAAATTGAATAAATGAGTTGAAAGTTGTTAATTGACATTGCAAATAATAAAATTGCTGAATGCTCAACCACCATGGAAAAAATTCAAATGGCCAATTTTATTGGCCTCCTATATTTTACCGTAGCTATCCTACTCCATTCAATTTCAAATTGCTTTTAAATTTGATCTTCAATAGATAGATAGAGCAGATTGGAGTCGCTAGGAGATGCTCACACCTGATTTGATTCATTTTATTTGTTGCAGTAAAAAGGAGAATGAGAGATGCATTGTTAATCAGAAATGATACTTCCACTTAGAGAGAACTACAACAGAGAGAAAATTCAGCCCATGAATCCATTCCTTTATGAATATGTCGGGAATCTTATAAAAAAGAACAACTATCTTTAGGATTTCATCGAAAATGTGTTCCAATCTCCTTGGACCTTGATGGTTGTTACTCCATGCAAATATACAATCAAGGGAATCTTCATCCCTCCAAATCATTGCTCTATGAGCTTATTTATGTGTAGTATGAAGATGAACTGATTATTCACTTAAGAATGTTTTACAGTCACTAACTGACAAGAAATTCGCTTTGAGCCTGCCCTTCCATCATGGAACCAGAGAAACATGTGAAACAGAGGCTTAGGCGACAATTGGGCTCCGGCTCCCAGCTTTATGGGGCCTATGGTTCCAATCAAGATCACAAATGTTCCAATCAAGATCACAAATACCTTCTATTCTCATTGGACTCAACTTAGCAGGCGAGCTTTTTTTAAATTTCAGGCCAGGGAGCTCAATGGAAAGCACCCAAACAAACTCCCTCAATACTAACCTTATCTTCCACTCTCACTTGTTTGAATACTTTGAGGAAAATAAGTAAAGATAAATAAAAGAAAAGCAAGAGAAATGAGAAGTGGGTGTCGTATGGAATACTTTTGTAGGCTTCATTTGGGACATGGACTTCAAGCAGACAAATGACAAGTATTCACCTTTTTATGGGTCTTCTTTGCTTCTTCCCTTTTTTTTCATCCCTTTGATAGTGGAAACATAAACCTTGAGCCTGATTCATTGGGCATTACTATTGATTTTGAAAGACCTGTTTAGGGCAGCATTTATCTATTCGCATATTGGTGTCTTATATGTACTTTGGGTTTGCAAACTCCACCAATGAATCATAAATCAGGGTGTGTGCATTTTCTTTATATGATCTCTCAATCTAATTTAGCTCTAGTATTTTTCATCTCATTAGTGAGAATCTCCCAGTCTCTGTCTTACGACACTCATAGCTTTCACCACTTGTAAGTGTGATTGATACATAGTGTCAAGAGTTCTAGATTCATTTTATGCTTTTTCTTGCCTACAAACTTGTTCTATAAAGCGTAAGTGATAACGTGGTTTTGTTTTTCAGATGGGTCAGTTTGTTTGAGTCACCTTTTACTTTCTTTCTCTGGCATCTTCTGTGTTATAATGTAAATTTCCTTTTGTTGTGTTGAGTTGGTTCATTGTTTTTTTTTTGATGAGGTGTTGAGTTGGTTCATTGTTGACTACGTAAGGCTGACAATTTTCACTTCTTGCTGCAGAAAATGGTGTGATGTGGACAACATAAGGAATAATTTGTCCAATCCTCCTGGCCTTATTTTTGGGATGCAAATGTGGAAAATGACTTGTAAAGGTTCAATAAGTTATGGTCCATCAAAGAAGACCATGATGCATTTCATTTCTTCATGGAGACCATTATCTACATTGTCTTTGGCTCCACATTGCATTTATGATAGAAACGTTTGCAGTTCCACAATAGCTCATGGGCTTACTATGGTAAAAGATGATAGTCACAAACTGGATTTCAACTGCATCGATATGCTCATCCAGATTGTGCATGGGTTTGCAGAATCTTTCTTTCTTGCCATAGGAAAGCATGAGACTCTTAATAATGGTCCACAGCTTTCTAAAGCATGGGTCGGCGTGGATGTGAATGCATGGCAGAAGTGTGTCTCATATCAGGTAAGAAAACAACCTGTTTTTATTTCTCATATTTATGTTCTTGACATTCATCTTCGTAAAGTTTTTCCATTGTATCTAGAGACAAAGTATACTAGGCCAATGAAGTGATGGACTATGGTGGCCCAATGGATATGTTTCTACATTGTGTTGGACATTATTATAATTTTCTATTTTTGTACATTTATTTATTTTAATTGGTATATCTATATCCATTTATTGTACCTGGGTTTTCTCTCAGAAAACATCTCCTTCGGCCACTATTATGAAGGAAAACATGTGATCCCCAAATACCTCAATTATAATTCCTTAAAGAGATGAAAAAATGAACACAATCTCCCTCGCTGAAAGCGACATGCCAAACTATTCAAATCATGAGTTAGTTTCTAGAAGGGACTATATCTTATTTGAACACCTAAACTATCCTATGTTTATTAAGGATGAATATGATGCTTTGAAGCTATTTCTATACCCATGGTAAAGCAATGGCCAGGCTGAGGGAGCAAGGTCATCGTGAGTTGTTTGTTTTGTTTCCTTCTTTTGAGGGGATTATTACGAATCTGCAGTTACTGGGACATTGAATGCCAGTTTCTTGGGTACTGGTATTGCATATGCATCTGTTCCAGGAGCTGTCCTATATATAGTTCCGAATTTTATTTTCATCTGTCCTTGTAATGGGATTGCATTCGAGTTCTACTCATAATTTTTTAGAATAACATGGGGAGTTAAATCCATGTGGTGCAGGTAGCTGTTTACTCCTTGTTACAAGCAGTGATAAAACTGGTCATAGTTGATGATGGAAATGGAGTTCCTGATCCAGTTCATGAAATGTGAGTCTTGGAAAATTATTTGATATTTTCTGTTTCTGGAAATAATGCTTACATGGATGTTTTATTTGAGAATGTGCTAAGCTTTTATTGATCGATATACTCTTTCCATTGATTTTCATCTTTTTTTATTTATCTCCTCCTTTTCAGCCTTACCCCAAAAGTAAGATTACTTGAGAAACACATCGAGAATGAATTGAAATTGAGGGACCCATACTCCGTGAATTGGTTGTATTATGAGCAGCTTCCAAGCTTGGTACAACCATTAACACTCCTACTAAAAAGTTGGTTGATGGAACTTACAAGGTTTATACTTACTTCTTTGTTCTGATATTTTTCATCCTTAGTTCTCTCATCTAGTCATTCCTGTCTTGTAAGGAAATTTACTACTATTCCCTGGACCATGGAAAACTCTAGTCCATTGGGGCCACGACCATCAGATGAAATGATGGCAGTGTTGGAAAGAGCAAGACCAACAATGGTCATGTCCTATTCCAGTGAAATCAACTCTCTCTACATCACCATACATCATTTTATTCGAGTATTGGATGATGATGAACCTATTGGACTATATTTTCCATATTCCCGACTCTATCATACTTACCCATCTTATAGTTAGGCTTATTGTGCTTAATGTATCCTTCCCCATACTAAAAGTTTACTTTTCCCATGGACATGGATCTTCTATTAGCTCCCCTCTACTCAATAATGATGAAATGAGTTTAAGCACCAGCAACAAGAAACCCAATGTGGTTGCAGTGAGTATATTGGCACTAAGCAGCATTGTGGCAATAGGGAAGCTGGGCTCAGGAAGAATTTGCTGCCCCATTCTTACCTCTTCTCTTCAAATTGTTATCGGCAGGCTCATGGATTTGTTGCATAGCTTTGTTCTATTGGAGAATGTGCATCAGCTGGCTTTTGAAGCTGGGGTAGAGCAAGAGTTTTTGGAACATTTTGGTTCAAAGATTCTATATTATGAACCAAACAAAGAAGTAACATTTCCAAACAAAGAAGTTATATTTTGGATGGAATTGGTCAGGACAAAATTAAGTACAGCTTTCTTGAGAGAGAGTGTAATCGCAAGCTTAGAAAGTTCCAGTAAAACCAAGGTCAGACCTCTTGTTTTCTTATACGATTCACATCCTGTGTGACAGTGATGCATCATGCCTCATCAATTCCAATTTATATAATCTGTGTACTCAAATTTGATATCTTGTACATTCCATGTTAAAACGATTCACATCCTGTGTGACAGTGATGCTCAATGCCTCATCAATTCCCATTTATATTATCCATATGCTCAAATTTGATATCTTGTACATTCCATGTTAAACAATGTGCGCAGGTCCTTGATGGGGATCTGGCTGCTCTTGGACTTTTCGCTTTGTTAGGAAGGAAGACTAGATATTTCTTGTCATCTAGAGGCATAAAGGACCTTGATGAGCCTGTGAAGGATTTCCTCAGGTTATATCTATCTTAGTCCAAATAGAGTATATGTGAAAATTACATATTAAAGTATTGAGATCTAAAGAGAATAAATTATATCAGGTTCAATGCTTAAATTGCAGCTGTATGGAGTGTGGAATCCTTTTTGTTTATCCTGAGATGTCTTCCTTGCCTCTCTATCAGCTCTTCATGGAGGTCAGTTTTGCTTATACCATCGAAGTCCTAGGATGTCTCTTAACGTTCGTTTATCACTATAGCTTGATTATCTTTACTCTGGACACTCTGTTTTCTCTTTATTTGGCTTCATAGGTGGTTTATCTTTCTTGCCTTCATAGGTGGTAACTGAAGAAGTGGGTTGGCTCGACTTCTATGGGGCCGTTCCTGGGGTAGTACATCAGGAGAGGAAGAAGTCAATTCAAGCCAAGAAAGAGATAATTCTTTCTACTGTTTTTAATGTTTGCTCGGGTTGGTTCTCTAGCTATGCCTACTACAGAAAAACTATGCAACAGTCTCTGGACACCAAAGTAGCAAATTTTTTCATGCAAAGGTAGCTATATCGACAAAATATTCTTCTCCTTTCCCCACAAAAAACTTCAATCTTCCTTTAAGTGCTTTTTGGTTTCCTTAATCCTTGTGCTAATGATATTTTCATGCTTTTCCTTTTTAACAATCAACACCACCATTCCTCTCTCTCTCTCT